AAGGAAACAATCCCCTGGAGAAGAAAGTGGCAACCTACTCCAGTCTTCTGTGTGGGAGAGATTCATTCCCAGGATAACAGTCTAGAATCTACAAAAGCTGACCAATAAACCCATGTGCCTTCTGACCCAGAGCTCTCCATTTGGAGAACACAGAGAGTAGGGAGACACCCAGCAATACTTCTTCTTTCCCAGGGTTTGTAGTCACTTCAAATAATTCACATCTCCATTAATACTCCAGGATTTTCTTGGGATCTTTAAAGAGGACCAGAACTAATTTGCTTCCTCAAAGGTTCTTCATGATCTCAGGACCAGTTTAAGACCAAATTATCCTTAGTCCCTGCACTCTTGCAGCATCAAAGACCCAAACCAAAGATAAGATATAAAAATGCAGCAAGATGGATAAGAGGCACTGTTGCTTAACAAGGTTAAAAAGGCAGGAAATATAGGATTAACCAAGATTCACTGTCAGGTGCCTATACAATGTCAAGACAGGCAACACTGCACAAATGCCTTCCGTGAAGGATTTCCACGGCCATTCTTTGGAACCAGCAAGTTTTTAGAAAGAAATGAAGCCACGAATGATGAGGATTAACAATCTTACCACAATAGGACAAAATGCTCAAGGTCAAAGTCACAGATGGTTCCTTCTAAGAACAAAATGATGGGTGTGTTTAGGCTGAAAAGGAAAGGGAGACAGAAGTCCTGTCTACTGACACTAATCCCGCTCAGCCCCAGGAAGGGGAAGATGCCTCAGGTCCAGATACTCGCAGGAAGGGGTGGAGTCCTTGCCCAGTCCACCCTGAGGTGGGTAAAGAATAAAACAACACTAAAAAGTTAGAGTGACTTCCCTGGTGGCTCAGGTGGTAAAGTGTCTGCCTACAATGTGGCAGACCCAGGTTCAATCCCTGGGTCGGGAAGATACTCTGGAGAAGGAAATGGCAACCCACTCTGGTACTCTGGCCTGGAAAATCCCATGGACAGAGGAGCCTGGTGGGAGACAGTCCATGGGTCGCAAAGAGTCGGACACGATTGAGCGACTTCACTTTAACTTTAAAAAGTTATAATAGCTAACACATACTAGAACTCTGAAGTCTTTAGATATATTAACTTATTAAAACAACTAGATGAGGTAGGTGTTAAGCCTCCCATTTCACAGGTGAGGAAATCAGGAGACAATGTTTAAGTGAATTTGCTCATAACCCCTCAGCTAGTCAGACAGGGGAGTTGAGATTGGAACCCAGTCAGTAGAGTTCCCAAGACCATAGTCATAATCCTCATGTATCATGTCTCTCGGTAACTTCATCCTCCAACCGAGAGCTGGCCCGCATTTCACATTCTCATCTCCTTCTATTTAAGTCCTGAGAGATTTATTACTTATTAGAATCTTAGGGATGTCCTATTAAATCATCAGAACTAAAAGCAGACCTTTCCCCTTCCCCTTTCTTCCACCTCACCCCCAATGACACCTGAAGGCAAACCACATCCAAGCATTGGGATTGGCATGCCCAGTGGAGCCATGGACACATCAGATGCTCTGGCAGAGTTTGGTCCTGATTTGGTGAGAAAATAGGCAGGAGGGAGAAAGAGAAAGAGAGAAATAAAGAAGGAAAGAGAGAGAGAGAAAGAGAGAGGGAGGGAAGAAGGAAGGAGGAAAGAGCATTAATGTTTATGCAGAAGAATGGGGACGGGAGCTGAAGTGGAATATTAACCTAAATTAAAATCACAGTCTCCTACTAAAACTGTACCTATATTTCAAATGGAGGCTTATCTCAAACATCACATCCTCCCAGCCATATTTCAAGTTTAAAGAACCTAAATAATATTCTATCACTGGTAGTCTTTTGGTACCCAACTTCTTCCATTTTATACCATAGATATCTGTTACTTATAATCATTTAAGCAACTTATTGGGGAAAACTCTTATTTGAACAAAGCACTCATACACTCATGTATCTGTTTAGGTCATTTGAGTAAACAGCAGGGAAATAGCAATAAATTGTAAAGTGTGAAAAAGGGCTCAATATACCACTATCTATCCTTTTCATGTAAAAAAAAGTAAATTTTCAGGCAGATTTACAGCTAAATATTAACTCAAGTGTCTGAATTAAAGGTTTAAAACAAGTCCCTCATGGTGTATACCTTTAAGTATGTTAAGGCCTATTTTTTTTTTAGCATTTCTACTAACAAGCAGAATTCATTTTATATTTTTATTTTAATATGGAATAACTGTCTATTTAAGGGAGAAAGGACCCTCCATCTTTTTTAATAGTTTGTGGTCTCTGAGAAGAGGGGTCTATTTGGTTCTGATATGTTCTCCAGGTCCACACCTGAACATACTGTGGGTCTTCAGTAAATATTCCTGACTATGCAACTACCCTGAACAACAGATGCAGGTCAGAATATTACTTCTGGTCCAAAAAGAAAAACCAAATGCTACTCTGATCCAAAGAAATCTTAAAGTAATAAGGTCAACGTGTAGCAATAACTGTTTATCAGTTCCGTCCATATAAATGGCTCACCTCATAAATTAAACTGAATGGAGTATATGCCTGTAATTTTTAATTTGGGAAAGGGGTGGCAGAAGGGAGAAAGGAGTTATCTAGAACCTGTAAGATGATACCAAATGTGTGTGTGTTTATCTGGATATATGTATCTGTCTGAGGGGCATGTGTGTAACACTGCCCCCCTAAAGACAATTCATATCCCACCCAATAATTTATCTCAACAGGGAATGAAGAGATAGCTATCGAGAGAGAGAGAGAGAGAGAGAGTTTTGGTGGGAGGGGAGGAGAGAAAGAAAGATAAGAAAGAGACTAAGAAAACAAAAGAGAAAGTCAGAGGCAGAATTAAAGAGAAACTGAGAGGCAGAGAAAGGGAGGCAGAGGGAGAGAGGAAAGGAGGAAAAGCTGTTAAGAGGGCTGGCCACAGAGAGGAGTAAATGAAACAAACGGTTTGAAGAAAATCTTTCCTTGCTGGAATCTGCAGTAAAATCCAGATTCCTGCTGAAACAGAAAACCCTCCTCTGGGGTGGGTGAGTGGCTGAGGTTTGTCATAAAAGGAAATCAATATTTTACTTGACAATTTCCATGTAAATGCCACCGTCATTTTCGGTATCATTTCATTGTCAACTTCCCACAGTAAATAAAAAACAGTATAACACTTATTTTCCCCCCTGAGATTTTTAAGTGTGATCTCAATTGTACAACTGCAGCCAATCACCCAGCAAATTCTTGGCAGAGCAAACCAAAGAACACATGCTTGCCCAAGGTGGACAGCAGCCACTGGACTGTACGTTAACTGCGTTTGGTTCGGAAAGTGCCCTCAAACAGGCTCTAAATCTGCCCACTAAGGAACCCACAGTCATGCGTGTTACCACAGCCTGCCACAAAAGTCTAAAAGCTCACTATAAAAATACTACCTGTCAACTTTCATTTCTGGCATAAGTTGATAAAAACCTCACAAATCCTCTCCTAGAAAGACTGTTAACATTCCATGCTAACACCACTAGAATGAGAAAAGACCTGTTTACATGTGTCTACTGTTTAACTTGGAGAAGGAAATGGCAACCCACTCCAGTACCCTTGCCAGGAAAATCCCATGAACGGGGGAGCCCAGTAGGCTACAGTCCATGGGGTCGCAAAGAGTCAGACACGACTGAGCAACTTCACTGTCTAACTTCCATGGATGCACAGAATATATCAAGTCCCAATTCACCATCTTTTACTTTCCATTCCCATTTGGAACTGTAGCATCAGAAATGGCAGCATTTGTTTCATAGAGAAAGGACTTAAAAAACACCTTCCTTATATAGTAAGCTGAAGATACATTTCCTCTTGCTTTTTTTCATAATATAATTTTTTAATGAGCTGCAATTAAAGCCAGTAAGACTCAGAATCTCGTAATACCATTTTTACACCTTTTTTCATTTTTCAGAGTATATATGTCTTTCCAAATCTGGCAGAACTCAATTCTATATATTATGTAGTTTAAAAGTCATAGAAAACATAAGGACTTATCTTTCTACTCATACATTTTCATATTATACCACAATTCAAATGTGCTGCCCTTCTTAGCAAATTCAGTCAAAGGAACTGATGTCAAAAGAAATATACATGTGTACAAAGTTTTTAAAAAGAAAGTTAGAATCAAACAGAAATCTGTAAAGATCACATTCTTAACACACACATCTTATCCTGAACTTCAAAAATATCCACATCCATTATCAATCTCTATTTCGTATTTGAATCAAACGCACATCTCATGTATACTGCGGCAGGATGTTATGAATCCCAAAGTTGATTAGAGGAAAGACATGCTAATTGTTGTCAATAATAAAGCTCAGTGCAAGTAATTCAGGCATTCCACAATTACTCAGATTTTAATTTAATCTCTTTCCAAAGATGACCTGAGTGGATTTCTGAGGACCGAATAGTCAGAACTGCTTCCTTTATTGTCTGATAAATGCTCATTTGTTTCCATAGTGAATATACCATTGTGATCTTTCTCAAGTTCTGACAGTCCAATAAATAAAAAACTGCCCACTATTTGTATCACAAATTATTCAAAATTTACTGATTATCTCAGTATTATAAATTATAATGTGGACTTCTAGGAATTATTGATTGAAGGGTACTTTGCAGTCTGACATGTCAAGGGCAAGGTCCAACAGAAACCTCACCAGAAAAACTAAAAAAAGCAACAAAAGACTTAAGTGATCTTAGCTTATTTTACATTAAAAGGTAAGTAGAAAATATAAATATTTTAAATACCAGTATTTTAGGGTGGGCCAATAAGAGGTACAAATTACTAAGCATAAAAAAATAAGTTACAAGAATATATTGTACAGCAAAGAGAATATAGTCAATATTTTATAACTTCAAATGAAGTATAATCTATAAAAATACTGAATTATTATGTTATATACCTGAAACTAACATAATATTTTAAATCAACTCTACTTCAGTAAGTAAATACATAAATACCGGTATTTCAATGCTTACTTTCAGTAGATCCTTGGAGAAATCACCACCTTCATCTACCCCTTGGAGGTTTGCGATGAACTCTTGGCAAGTCATCTTCTTTCCAATATTCTGGAACAGAGGCAAATAATACATCACAATGACATAGGTGGAATTAACATTATTTCTTGAAACTGTGATTAAACAAAATAAGATTGATTTGGTTTTTCAAAACCAAACACAACACCCCAATATATGTGTGTATATATATACAAGTTTATATGCATATGAAAAAAAACAGATGGCTTATTATGCTTTGAAAACTGTCATTAAATATGAATAGCAAAATTATGTTAAAGTTTTATTTTAGCCTAAGAAAAAATCTGAAAAACCTTTGCTACATTTATGAAAAGAATATAAAATGTAGCTTTTACAGGAAAAGCATGTATAAAATGACATTTCTTAGCTGAACTCTGATGGCTATTTGCTTCTTTATTTGTATTTCCTACCTATTGCCAAGAATGATGAAGGACCTGAGATTTCAGGCTGCTACTTCAAGCTAAGAACTTAGCCTATCACAGGCGGCTGGATGCAGTCAGAAGCAGGACCGCAGGAATTTATCACAACAGAAGGGGCCGGAACCCCAGCGCTTTCTTGCTCCACTTCCCTGAGCCCCAGTACCCAGAGCACCTTGAATGGGGCCAGCTGACACCTGCACACACAGGGGGAGCTCTGAGGTTTGGGGACCTGAATCTTCGCAACGGGACAGTTAAGCGTATCTACCCCTTGGCAGTGAAGAGAGAAACCAGCTTGTACCTTTCAAGGCCATACACAAATCTAACCACTGCTCTGGGAATCACTAAGTCAATTTTCCAATTCTGCTCACTATAGAAATAATGTTGAAGAGACAGACCAGAACAAAGACAACCAAACTTCAGTTCACAAAATGGAAGAAAAGCAAGAGATCTTTGGAGAACTGTTTCCAAACTCATTTCCAACTTGACTTCAGGATAATAAGTTTAACCAAAGAAGACCTTATTAATAAACAAAAATCAGAAAATGTGAGAGCTTCCCTTGTGGCTAAGACGGTAAAGAATCCACCTGCAATGCAGGAGACCTGGGCTCAATCTCTGCATGAGGAAGTTCCCCTGGAGGAGAGCATGGCAACCCACTCCAGTGTCCTTGCCTGGAGAATCCCCATGGACACAGGAGCCTGGCGGGCTGCAGTCCACGGGGTCGCAAAGAGTTGGACATGACTGAGTGACTAAACACACAGAAAATGTGAACTGCAAAAAGAGAAAAAATGCAAATATGCTAAGACAACTAATAAAATTGCTGTGACACAGAATTGACTCCAATGGCAGCTCCAGCTGGCTAATAAAAGTTGCCAGTTGTGAAGGATTCTGAGGTTGAGACTGGACTCCCACAGAAACCCATCCCATGAGCAGGGGACGCAGAACAAAAGTGCAGAGGTTGAGGCTCTCTGGCAAATGTGGTCTAAGTGAACACGAAGTGTACCAAGTGTACACGAAGTGTACACGAAGTGTACCAGCCCTGCACACAATACGTGTGCAAATACAATGCATGCTCTACAAGGCTATTTTATTCAGAGAAGACTAAGAGTAGGGTAGAACAGTAGTCTGCAAGTTGGTGCAGAATGTTCTGGAGACAAAGACTTCAAAAGGAATGCAAAACCATAGACAGTTTCAAGGGAGTATTTATACAGAACTTAAAAAATATACATCTGCCTGAGAATAGATTCACCTGTGTGTCTTCAGAGTCACCGCTTCTCATTTCCTTTTCCACAACTGCCTTTCTGCCTTAAAACATGAAACAATCCGTCCAGTGCTTGCTAATTAATTATAACTTTAGTTAAAAACCTTGCCTCTTCCATCAGGAAAGACAGCATAGATAGTCACACTTAGAGGAAAAACTGCATAAATGTTTTAACAATGAGAACTTTGCCAATTAATGTATTTGGTAGATATTTCCTATAACTTGAATAAATTGCAGCTGCAGCCCCAAGTTTTGGTGGAAATTTATTTAAAGCACAGAAAGGAACTTTAATGGAAAATACTGTTTCCTAACATTATATTGAAAAAGACAATAGCTCAATTTTCTCTTATCAAGTATATCAGATCAAACCCAAGCTAAAAACTAGCAAGTATGATCAATAGTCATTTTGATATGACTTGGCAAGGCTTTTCTGGGATATGCTTCAAGGATTTGAGAAAACGAATGAATAATGACTAGGTAAAAATTTCTTTTCCAAGTTAGGTGGTTCCAATTCTTTGCTTTTAACAAAATTAAAAAAGGACATAATTTAATCATCACTTAAGAACAAAAATGTTTTTTTAATATGTGATTTGATAACATTGGGGCACTCTTTCTGCCCCCTTCTGATGTCTGTGTCAGAAGCTTTCTCTTTCTCTTTTATACTTTAATAGAACTTTATTACACAAAAGCCATGAGCGATCAAGTCTCGTCACTGGCCCCGGGTTGAATTCTTCTCGTCTGGAGGCCAAGAATTCCAGCGTCTTTTGTGGGTCAGCAGCAACCTTTCATCTTGGGGGCTCGTCCGGGATTCTCCAGGACAAGGTAAGGATGCTCGGAGCTCTAGTTCCTTGTTCTCCTAACGAATATGTTTTCTGCTGTCCTTTACTAACTCTGCAGTGTACTTGTGTGAATGAATGACACGCTCTGTGTGAAGCAAGCGAGGAGCCCTGCTCTGCAGTTCCGTGGTGACCTCACACGGCTCACGGCAGAAACCTGTCGGGGGTTTATACCAACCTGTCAGTGGACTTCCCTGGAGGCTCAGATGGTAAAGCATCTGCCTACAATGTGGGAGACCCGGGTTCAATCCCCGGGTCAGGAAGATCTCCTGCAGAAGGAAAGGGCAACCCACTCCAGTACCCTTGCCTAGAAAATCCCACAGACGGAGGAGCCTGGTAGGCTACAGTCCATGGGGCTGCGAAGAGTCAGATATGACTGAGCAGCTTCACTTTCACTTGAAGACATTATCTGTTTTTAATCCTTGCAATGTTAATAATGATAAAACTTGTCTTAGAATGGTTTATACTGAAACACCTGAGTCTTTTGGTAATAAGAAACTGAAACTTTCATCTCAATTTACATAATTTTTGTTAAAATAAGTATCAAATAAAACAATATCAAGACTCCCAAATATAAAAACATGTTATACAAAGAAAAATAAAACTATGGAAAAGTAGACAAATTACAAATACCAGGAGCAAAAAAAGATTTTTTAAAATATGATGGAATGTCAATTACTATAACTTTTTAAAAAACACCAGCTTTATTGAAATATAATTCATGTAACATTCATTCTTGTGAACTTTACAATTCAATAATTCTTAGTATATTGTTAAAGCAGTATGGCCATCACCAGTCTAAACTAAGAACATTTTTATCACCCCAGAAAGCCGCACCATATCCATTGGCCATCACTCTTAGGTCTCTCTTCCATCCTCATTACCCATTCTCTTGAACACCAATAAGAAACTTCTTATTTACTAAGCCCTGTGGAGCTGCCTATGAAGGACATTTCACATAAATGGAATCATACAAATATGGTCTTTTATGACTGGCTTCTTTCATTTAGCAGAGCGTTTTCAAGTTTCACCCATATTGTAGCATTAACCAGTATCTAACTTCTTTTGATTGCCAAACAACATTCCACTATATGAACATACTAAATTCTGTTTATCCATTCAGAAATTGGTGGCTACTTGGACCGCTCCCACATTGTGGTTACTGTAATGTAGCTAAAAACATTCGCGTACAAGTTTTCGTGCGGACTTGTTTTCATTCCTCCTATGTGTAAACCCTGGAGAGGGATTGCTGGGTCATATGGTAACTCCGTGTTGAATCATTTGAGGAACTGCTGGGCCCCGTTTACACACCCACTAAAAGCGTGTGAGAGTTTCTTTCTCTGCATCCTCCCCAACACTTATCTGTCCTTTTTATCTAAGCCAAACTAGTGGGTGTACACTGGTGTCCTATGCTTCTGATTTGGATTTCCCTACTGACTGGTGATGTTCAGCATACATTCATGCCTTACTGGCCACATGTACATGTTCGCTGGAGAAAGGCTGATTCGAATCCTTTGTCCTTTTATTGTCTTTTATTCTTGAGTTGTGTTCTTTATATATTCTTGATACAAGCTCCTTATCATGTATGTATTTTGCAGATACTGTGTCCTATTACATGAGTTTTCTCATTTGATGGTGTTCTTTGAAGCAGAGAAAGTTTTTAAACTAGATGATATTTCAATTTACTTATTTTTTCTTTTGTTGTTTGTGCTTTTGGTGTCATACGTAACAAATTCATGTCAAATCAAATCCAAAGTCACAAAGATTTACTCCTGTGTTTTCTAAGAGATTTTATACTGTTAGCTCTTACATTTAGATATTTGATCCATTTTGCATTAATTTTTGTACAGAGTAGCAAAGAAAAATCTAACTTCATTCTTTTGCATATGGCTATCCAGCTGTCCCAGCACCATATGTATTCTTTCTCCAATGAGTGGCCTTGGCATCCTTGTCAAAAATCAACACACTGGAATGTAAGGGTTTACTCCTTAACTCTTAACTCTATTGAACAGATCTAGATGTTTGGTTTGATGCCAGTGTAACATTCTCTTGACTTTCATAGCTTTGTAGAAAGTTGTTTCCACCTCTGCATTCTTTTTGTTATGGTTAAAAAACACAAACAATTTATTATCTTAATGATTTTTATGTGCACAGTTCAGTAGGGTTATGTATTTTCACATTGTGGAGAAACAGATTTCCACAACTACTTCATCTTGCAAATCTTAAACTATATAACTTCCCATCCACCTCCCCTCCACCTTCTGGAAATTATCATTCTACCTTCTGTTCTAATGACTGAATATTTAGGTAACTCATGAAAGTGAAATCATAGTGTTCTCAAAGTTTGTCCATCTTGCAGCATGTGTCAAAGGTTCCTCCTTTTTAAGGCTGAGGATTTCATTAGATGTATACCACAATTCTGTTCAACAGTTTATCCATTGATGGACATGTGGGGTGTTCCACTTCTGGGCTTTGTGAAGTACTGCTACGAACATGGGTATGCAAATATCTCCTTGAGAT